CCTTGCAAAGCTGAGAATAAATTTGAAAAGAAAAGGCTGACTTGGAGTAATTGGACTTTCTGTGTATGACAGGTAACTGAAGTTAAACGCTAAGTTAATAACTATCAGTCAGATTGTATCTAGCAATCCTCTGTGAACGTCTCCAATTCCAGACCAAATGGCACTAAATTGCTATGAAACTCAAACTGTTCTGCTGAGATACAGGCTTCAACATTTAGATGTCCTGATCTCGAGATGAACCCGTCCCATCTAAGGATGACGTACATTTGTGAATTAACGCAACCAGCTTTGCTACACAAACTTGTCCAGAACCAAAACATCACACTAGTTTCAACAAAAATTAAAGAACCGAAACTACAAGAGTACTATACGAAAACATGAAGTTCTACAAGTTAACACACAAGACTGTGAAAAAAATATATTTCTAAATCCCACCCAAAGGTTATCCTTCACCCATTGCAACCTCCTGGCAAGTCTTAATATGGAAAAATCCCAGTCGGTCCCACAGGGGTCATGCATCATTTTGCAACTATAGTTAATTACAGGACTACAGACAGAAGAGACCAACTGCTTATCTCCTTTCAAAACAGTACAAGTTGAGTTCAGTAATTAGTTACACATAACACCATGTTATCAGAACTATATCTTTTTCTATATGACCTAATCATCCTCATTAAACTCACAAAGCATGCCTCAGTTTAATATTTAAGGAGAAGTTTAAACACCAACATTAACCTTTAAATCTTTCTTCTTTGATATAGCTAATTCAAGATAAAGTGAAAAACTGCCACAACTGTAATAGTATTTTAAGCATAATGTGCTGTGAAGTCTTTTATTCCTGCATTTCCATCACTGTTTTTTTGTGATACTAAATGATACACGTGAGAACTCACAGGGAAGTCTTTATCAGACTCTTGTATTTGAACTGCAAAATTGTCTGGGAAGACTCCTTCTTTACCATTGAGTTCTCCTTTCCACCAGCCTGGCTCTCCAGTGTCCTAAAATAAACAAGAGGACATTTCAATCAATATTTATTTCTGCCCCAGAACAGATACAGTTCAAGAACAACGGGTTTGCTTTTACCCACAATACAAAATAATTGTTTGTCTGCAACACCACGTTTATAAGAGGAATACTTTGGCCACCTTAGCAAGGGGAAACAGCTACAGACCAGATCAGGTTTCATCAGTTTTTGTTTGTTTTCTAAAAAGCAGGAGGAAATGATATTACATCACATATAAGATAAGGGTATAAGGATAAGATCTGCAAAGGGAAGGAAAGTACATAAACCCAGTTATAACCCAATGCACTATATTCAATATTCTCAGCTTCCCCGACCAGCGCTTATTCAGTAAATACTTCAAGTCTCATTGGAGTAACACATAATTCTAATAAATAAAAGTGATTCTGATGTGATTGGTCAGGTCCACTGGTCTGAAAAGGGTGAAGAATGGTGAAAAAATAACCACAGTAAGACATAAGGAAGAAAAAAAAAAACCCAATGGATAATTAATTCAGTGGCACAGAAATCCATTACATGATCCTACTGGATCTTGGCCTTAGTTTGTCCATAACAGAAAGTATGACTTTATTTGAATATTTTAGCAGCATAAATAACAGCTCTCCCCTGTGCTCCAGATCCAAAACACTGCAGATGTCGCTCCTGCACACAAGTCTAAGTGGATTACTGCTGATACACGCCACAGTTAGCAGCACCGAGTAGTTCATCCCAAAGCGCAGTACACAACAAGAACAACTAATTCAGCACTCGGTTCAGCTGCGATGCGGAACTGATAAAGGAGAGGGGATAAAATAAAACGTAAAATAAAATAATTAAATTAAAAAAAAAAAATCCCACCCCACATTAACCTGAAGGAGGAATCACCAGGAAAAAGACCTGAATAGGTGATTAGTGCTGAAAGTAAAAGTTTCCTGCAGGTTTCTTTCATTTCTCCCTCTGTCACCCTTTCAATTAAGTACTACAGAGTCCAGTTTCATTAACTTCCGTACGGTTATTCTGAAATAGCAAGTATCTCTAACACCTGGACTTCATTCTCCTACTTAAAACATGTACTTGGTTTTTTTCATAACACCTAGATCAAAATCAGTACATACAGATTTTAATTTCTCACCTTTTGACACAATGATACTTTCCAACCACCACCTCTAGGTCAGCCTGATACACCACCAGAGAAAAAGTACAAGTTCTGAAGGTTAAAAGGCTATTTGCAAAGCTTTTCCAGTTTCCTCACTGAAAAGGCAGTTGGTACTGGTTGTATAGTGATCCGACTGGCCTTTGAGGAATCTGAGATAATTTCCCACTCTGGAACGGTCCTTAAGGCCATCTGTACCTCTACCAAGTGCAGAGCAAAGAGCTGACTCTCACATGAGACAAATCTGTCTACAGGAGTATTTAATCCAACACACTCTCCTGCTTTCACATTTTACACATTCCCTACCTGTACAAAATCGACGAAAGCTACATAAACGGTTAAAGCAGACCGAACATCTTACCTTACTGATTATTTGAATGATCTCGCCTTCTTTAAAGCTGAGTTCATCGTTTGAGCCTTCATAGGAAAATATTGTCCTGCAATATTCCTTGGCTGAAACAAAGCAGAACAATTAACTACGTTTGCATACCATGGGTAGTAACATACATCACACCAGCTCACTTATGCTGTCTGAAAGGAGAGCTCAGAAATTAACACTCTAATCATACTTCCCTTCTAGATCAGCCATCTGAGACCGCTTTACAAATGTTCACTATGTCATTCATAGCACAAGAAAAGTAAGATTATGTGTGTACAGAGCAATGGAGACAAATCTTCGTGAAGTCAGTAGTTTAAGCTCTAAAACATGTTTTCCGCAACAGCAACTTAATTCAAGTACTCTGATTTCCGAGGGAGAAGAGAGGAGCCTACTCAGTTAATCTTCTAACAGCCTATCTGACCCTCCCCAGAGCATTACACATTCAAGTTTGAGCTACTTTAGAAAAAATGAGTTTCAAGCTTTTTATTGAGTTTATATGATATTTTCTCAAAATTGATCTAAATTTCAAATCTGCAATCCTAATTAAATACATGAGATTGTTTCAAGGTGACATCCTTTATTAATACGTACAATTACAGAAACTTCAAATACCTAAGCAGCACATTTGCTGAAACTCTGCAGTGAAATCAAGTAACTGAAGCAAAGGAATTCCTTGGCTAAGCACCTGAAACCAGAGCTCATCTGAGTCATCAACTCAGACAGTCACAGACTCTTCTACAAAAGTGGAAAGAATAATTCCTTTCTTTCCATTTGGGACAGTTCAATAGCTAATCCATTTAAAATTGTGATAACGATTTCAGGTGAAAGAGCGGGAGGATTTGTTTTCCTTTCCCATGCTAGAACAAAAACAACATGAAAAAGGCCAAAATATGTTAATATAGAAGTCTTGATTGGAAAGCATGGTTTTTTGCACCTTTTTTAAACCCAGCACATTTAAAATAATTTAGCAGATATAAAGGCTGGATTTCTGCACCTGACAGATTAAGAAGAGGAAGCAAAGAAAAAGGAGTCTAATGTGCTGCCATAACCTATCGGGTATTCGGCAGTGACAGCACACACAGGTGGGCAACTGCATCAACCCCCAGTCAGAGAGCAGCACGACATGAGGTCATCAGGAGGATCGACATGAGGTCATCAGGAGGATCGTCTGCAAGTCTTAATGACTGCCTTTTGCTGGACGGTAAGAAAATAAACGAGTTAGTTGCAGTTGAATCTTTTTGTTGTTGTTGGATTTGGTTTAACCAAGATACAAATCTTTAGCTCAAAAATGCACAAACGGTATTCTTAAATAAAAATCTACCTTGGTCACTGCCAACCACTATGTTAAAATGCAAAAGTATGCCAAGCTTAAGAGATAGACATACATAGGTATTTATACAGATATGTAACCACATGAGCAATCCTAGGTACGATAACTTACATTATTTTACTGCCTTATCAAGTAATCAAAATTGCTTAGCTATAGATTAACTATATTGTGGTTTTCAAAGAATTACAGAATCATAGAATGGTTTAAATTGGAAAGAACCTTGAAGATCATCGAGTTCCAACAGAAATATAAGCAGAACCATGTCAGAGATGAGTGTTCAAATAGAGGTCCAAGAAAAAAAAAATAAATTCACATTGACTCAAAAAAAAAAAATCAACACTACAAAAATACGCTACAAATATTATCAAATTTGGGGATTTTATTCATTAGTAATGAGTGAGCGTAAAAGAAATGTAATACATTTCCATACGTCCCAATTCTGTAAAAATACATGCATTTCCTTACTGCCTGGGGATTTGGCCAGTACAGCTGAATTTCTCAACCCTTCTTCTCTCTCCTCCTCCTCCTCCTCCAAGCATTTCTCCCCTCCTCACATACACCAAGTCCCACAACAGACAGAAAAGCGTGCGGGAAGGGGAACCTTTCGCTCTGCTCCAGCTGCCAGGAAGGCCGGAGAGATGGGAGCATCGCACCCCGCAGGCTGCCGCGGTCCCCATAGGTGCCCGGCTGCGAAGCCCAGCGGTCAGCACCACCCAAGAAACCCAACCTGGTACATCAAGAGTACGAACAATTTGTCACTTCAGCATCTTCTTTTGTGAGCCCGATATTCTGCCAGTAGTTAAGATGAAGAAAGAATCCAGTTTAACTTTCCAGCATTTAAGTCTAAGATGGTATTCACAAAACAGTAAATCTGAACTTCAGCAAATATTTTTAATAAAAGGTAGTTTAAAACTGGATCTTTTCCGAAGACTGGGGACTAACAGCACACTAGCAGGAATCACAGATGTTGTATTCTAACATAATGGGGGGAACGAGGGGTCAAATTGTGATTGTTTTATTTTTTTTAAACAAAATATTTTTACATACTTGCACCAGAGGCCAAAACAAGCTTCCCAGAAATAGCAGAGCCACACCAAAATAAGCCACACTAGTCTAAACATTTTCGAGATCTCTGTTTATTTGCTAACATATTGAACACAGTTTATTTTAAACTTGCTCTCTCAAAACTGAGGATGGTATACATAAATCATAATATGGTCTATATTAAAATAAAAACACTAAAAAAGAAAAACAAGCTTTCTTCCAAAGGTCCCAAGAAGTTCTTAAATGGTCTCTGTAGGTATTACCGACTGATATTCTCCTACAGCATTTATTACCACTATGTTTAAATTCCTCACTGACATACTCGTTTCTCTGGGGAGCAGAGACTCAGCATGGCTACTGGATTAGTCCAATTTCTATGCTTTTAGCATGAGGTGCACCTGAAATTACGAAAAGAGCTAAATACCGAATGTTCCGAGTGTTCAGTACTGAATGTTCAGATTTTTTTTAGGCAGACTTAGGTTAATTTTTATGCAATGTTTTGAACAAGTCAAATTTCACAATGCTGAGGGCTGCACACTGTTGCTGGCTCTTAGAGCAATAGCACGGGAATGATTTAAAAAGATTCCAAGACTATCCTAATTTTGAAGTTTAGTAAAGATTTCAAAGTCGCAAGTAAGCATCAAATTCCATCAAATGCATCATACACAAACTTTTGACAGATCCTTTGCAATAGCAAAGCTTAAGTATTAACTACTCTCAAGCCATTACCTCAAACACTTCTTGACAGTATCGGCTGCTTGTAAACAGGGTAATGCTACTTACAGCTATCCAATTCAACAAAGCCAAAATATGGCTGAAATGGCACAGCCGCCCTATATACTTCTATAGGTACAGATAAAGTAGGGCTCTGAGTAACAAACCTGCCGTTTCAAGTGCCCTGTTGTGCTAGACTGCTGGACATAACCAAAAAGTCAATTGTTTGTTGCAGTTTTCTTATTTCTGCAAATTATGCATTCTGTGTAAAACAGCCCAGTTACACCAAAATAAGGTATTTCCGCATGAAACAAAAATATACTTGAAATTACAATACAGAAGTCAAAAAAAAAAAAGTCTGCTCTGGAAACAGGCAAAACGAGCAGTCTACACATCACATAATTGAAGATAATTCTTTATATGGGGTTGGCACTCCCACAAGATGTTTTGGGTTGACTTAAAAATATCTATCTAGATAAAGCTAAGCAATTTGGTAGTTAAATGAGGTCATAATTTCTTAGAGACAACAAAAAAGAAAAATAAAAAAGAAGTTGTTATAAACGGAACCACAATGGAACTTGATTATCTAGGGAACACACTTCAAACATAAGCACCAACTTTCTGATGGAAGAAACTGAGCATACAGTTACGACAGCACACCAGCAACCCCACAGTAAATCCTCAGCTGAGAAAGCAATTTCTATAATCTAGGGACAGAAATTGAGTTAGGGGACTGTTCCATAGCAATAGATTTTCAGCATCCCAGATGAACACTAAAAGCTAGGCAGAAAGTAAGTCAGTTTGAGCATGTCAGCGTAGCAAATTCATGCAAGGGGGCTGCTGCAGTAAAACTTCATAAACTGGCCTTAATTTGTTCCAGGAGACAACCCTACAAATGTTTTTGATTCATTTTCCACAGAAACGCAAGCAAAAGCTCCTTCAGACTCTTTTGCATTCGTGTAACTCCTCAAAGGTACAGAACAAGACACAAAAACCCAGTGTACACAAAAGGTTAAGATTTCAACACCAAAAAAAATTGACAACCAAATACTTCTCTAGAAAGGCAGAAGAGATGTACCAAGTAAGAGAAGTAAATTTCCATCAGCCTTACCTTTTGGTTTACTTTCAGCTTCTGATTTTACTACTTCTGAAGAGTTTTCAGGTTTTGTTGTACTGGGAAAATGAATTAGCTTTGTTCCAGCGGGATGGTTAGGTGATGACTACATGAACAAAAGAGAACTTTGTTAACAAGAATTCATTATGAGTTTTATTTTTGATTAGGCTACAGGACATACTCAAGTTTTCAGTAGTTGAGATGATGCGAATGACCACCTCCAAGAAATCCAATGAGCTTTCCCATTACATACTTAACTTACTGTAGTTACTTCATTACAGTCACAGCAATAAGAATTTTGTGTACTGATTAACGACACAGCACAGCTTTCAAACTGGAAGCAAATCTCCAGATGTTGCCAGATATACTTTTGCAATCATATTTCAACAGTCCCAATGATACTGTTCCATTACCCTGAAAACTGCCTCCTCCAGTGCAGAACAGAAGCGGTTATTTAACAGCTCTGCTGAAAGTAACTCACTGACCACATTTACTCTGCACTGGAATAAAGCAGGAATATTCAGTAGCCATACAGCACCTCAGCTGAAGAAACAATTTTTTAACTACTCAGAGCACGTGAAAGCCCATCCCAGCTTCCCTTCACTCTTAGTCATTTGTACAGAACAGAACCAGAACACATAAACGTCACTAGAGATTTCTCCTGAACCATAGAGGAATTGCAACCAATAACAAGTTTCAGAGTTAACATCTAACAAAAATATTATTTTGGTTATATATTATTTTCATTTGCCCCAGGAGACTTACTGAGCTGCCAGGAAGATTAAGACAGCTTCAGCTGCACCCACTTCTTCACAGCCCTATGAGCTACAAACACAGAATACAATCTTACAGTCAGTGCTTACCTGAGCAGCCCTAATAGTGCTACTGATGTGAAAAATCCCACCGCCTTTAGTTACTCTGTTCATTTTCATTTACAGTTAAAGATTCACAGACTTTCTGCTGTCCAACAAACTAGATTTACTCTCCTTAAAACCAGATGATGCCTGTGGGCTGGTGTTTGGTACCTCTGACATACCATAGAGGAAGCCACACTCATTTGGGACATTCTCAGAGTACGTATGCAATTTAACTCGCTCCAGAATGCTATATGAAGGAAGCGCGAAAATAACCCACCTATCAGATTAAACAAGTCCAACATGGAAATAGTCCCCTACATTTCCCCCTTCTAAATGGAGATGCAATTAGAAATACGAGAGGAAGTTTAGGCAGACGGGGTATAAATAGCCTGAGCCCAGGCAGAACGCTGGGACCAACTGAAAACTATCTCCCTGTCTCTTGCAGAAGCATATATACTCCTGAGTGCTTCAGATACATCAGTGCTCAGCCACCCTATGCTGAACATTCTCCAAATTCCCCAAGGAAAATAAACCCTCTCTACAGCTTCCTTATGACAGCTTTTTTCATTACTGGCTGAAAGACTGAGAATGCCCTTCCAGCATCCCTCCACCTAACTCCAAAGTGAGTTGAGCACAAATTCAGAGAAGCCATCCATTTTCACAAGATCTTCATAAGAATTACCTCCTTAGGCCTCTCCAGGTTGTTCTGTAAGTCTGTCTCCCTTTGGGATGACTTCGGCAACAAGCGTAAGTGGAATATTAAGTGCTAAAATCAACTGTTTATTTCATGATCTTTAAACTATGCAAAACTGTTTTCTCACTTCATTTCCCCTCTTGCTGAGAAACAGTCTACAACAACTTTCCAGACAAGCCAACTAACAAAACAGAACAACAACATATTTTAGTGTTTATACAAAGTCAAATAACAATTCAAACTGTCTGAGCAGGCTTCACATTAATTGAACACACTGTAGACAGGCTCTTCATACTCCCAAGTTACAAGGTAGAAAGCAGGGGAACACGCTTTTGAATGATCAATCTCATGACAAGAAAGAAAACTGAAAGTTAGGTCCTGAAACCCAAGTCAACAGCATCCCACAGACTCCTACTGCAAGGGACAAAGCCTTCAGAGAACCAAGGAAAAATCAACATGCCTTCAAAGAATCATGTAATAGTTTGGGTTGGAAGGTATCTTCAGGGATCACCCAGTCCAACTCTCCTGCCATGGGCAGGGACATCTTTCATTAGACCAGGTTTCTCAAAGCCCCATTCCAGCCCGGCCTTGAACACTTCCAGGGATGGGGCATCCACAGCTTCCCTGGACAACCTGTTCCAGTGCCTCACCACCCTCAGAGTGAAGAATTTATTCCTTACGTCTAATCTAAATTTACCCTCTTTCAGTTTAAAAACATCGTCCCTTGTCTTGTCACTACAGACCTCAGTAAGAAGATTCTCTCCATCTTCCTTATAACCCCCCTTCATATATGCTGCAAGGCTGCAACAAGGTCTCCCCGGAGCCTTCTCTTCTCCAAGCTGAACAAGAACTTCCTTAGGAAAGAATATTCCCTGAGCCTTAAACAGAAGGTGACACTCTTGTAACTGTCATTTTCTGAAGCATCTTATGTTTTGACTGGACCATAAACTAAGAGGACACACACTGTGTCTATAGGTGGATGAGCACTGCTCTTAGCACCGCTACAGAGGGAAAACACATCCGAGGAAGTTTCTGTCCCATCCTTATGCCCTACACCATTACAGTTAGTTCTGCAGCAGCAAAGGAGAGCAAATCAGTCAGCGGAGGAGAATTAATGACCATAACAGACAAAAAAATGAAATTGGAAAATGCTTTTAAAGCTTTCTTGAATTGATCATCTGAGTAAAAACTGAAACACTGGATTACCTCAGCTGCCTTTAATTTATCAAAAGCTGCAACTCCATATATAAGCTCTTGGTATAAATTCAAGACAAAGGACTGAGCATCGCTGTTGTGCTTCCAAGGGGTAAGAGCGCTCTCGGGTTCAGATCAAAATAAAATTCAAACTAAAGCAATTTCACTGTCATCACATTGTCTGCTCTCTCCTAAGCTTTAAGTTCAATGTAGAGAGTAAAAGTGCTCCTCTTCCCACTCACTCATAAAAAAGGGAGAAAAGAAAATGAAAAAGGATGCAGAGTTGTAGAACAGTATTTTTCAGGCTATCACCATCAGCAGTTTATGTAACTCATTAACCTAAGAGATGATCAAAGCCAAAAGCCTGGGAGCGTTCACTGAAGGACTTTTTACATCAGTAATAACAGCTGACATCTGGAACAGTAATCTCAACATCCACCAAAATTTGGAAAAAAGAAAACCTCAAACCAAAAACTGAAGAAACCCCAAAATATTCCTTGTTTTAAAGACCGAGATTAACTTGTATGGAAGACTTAACCGTACCGTTCCAGACTGTATACAAACTATATCACAAAGAGAACTATAAGGGACCTCGTACCATCGGTGTGTCTGAGAAGTTCTTATGTCTTGCACCACTTGCCTTTGAAATGACAATTTTTGTATCAGCTTGGTTTTCCTCTATATTTTAAATACCAAGACATTTGAAGAGACCTTTTGGAATCAACTTTAAATATAACTTACTATGAAAGAAGTTTGAGGGGGTTTGTTTTCTTACATAGGCAAGAGCCCTATGAGATGACTATAGTCTGATTATGGAACAGTATTGACAAATTTTAAAATAGGCAATGTACTCAGCATCTGTAAGGTATCATGTTTTCAGATTCCACGTTTTATAGACTATTTTTACAGGAAACCCAAGAATAACAATATGAACCACTACAAACCTTATCTTGCTTTTTATCTTCTGATTCAGTACTGGATAATCTCGTCTTAAGTTTCACTGAGCCTTCTTTAAAGATATCTCCAAATCCAATACCTCGGATTTTCTTTGGCTGTGCTGGTCCAGATCCAGGTTCATTCCCATTTCCTGGAGAGACCACAGGTGAGGTAGGACCACTGAAAACAGGCTCTGGAAGTATAACAAGAAAGAAAAACTTGTTTTAATATGTGAAATTATTTATTTGCTCTTCTGGGAGAAAAAGTGGAAGTAACACAGCTGCGTGCACTGCTCCTGCTAAACAGCTTTTCTAGGAACGTTGTTGTACCTGTAATACCTCACATTTGTTCTAGCTGTGTATTTAACATTACCATTTGAAATGACACCAGTATTGCATTGAATACGCAGGCAACTAAGTCATTAGACCACTAATATTTCTTGCTATTTCAATTATCACTCAGGCTCTGCAGTCTGGTGACATCAACGTTATGTTTTCCATTAGTTTTATGAAACATTGCTTATGCATTCTCTAAAGAGGTGTTTTTAGTCCAACATTTAAACACTTGTCATTTGCACAGCTATAGCTACTGAAAGCCATAATCAATAAAGGTCCATAATGAGTCCTACCACATTTCAACAGCCACAGGAAAAAACAGTGTGTTTCAGTAATAGAGTGATGCCTCTCAAGGCACCAATGTGAAATTTTTCTAATGCTCAAACTGCATTACCAAAAATACCCAAAGAGTTTCTTGCAAATGTATTCAAATGGCTTTTTAACCTGATAACACTTAAAACCTATGAGTTAAATGTTCAAATCATATGTGGCTGTTTGACATTAATCACTGGTAGATAACAAGTACTTAAGATTCTTTTAATCTTTCAGTTTCAAGGGACCACATTTATCCACCCCCAAAAAATGTAGTTCAGAGTGGAACTTACTTTAGGTATTAGGAGCTTTTAAGACTTTTATTTATTTATTAAGTTACAATAAACTCTGTTAAAACCTACAAACCAGTATTCATGGGCAAAATATTTCCATGTGCAGCATTCCATGAGACAGTCATGTGAAAATAGACAGCTTTTATAAACCAAATTCAAAATACCTCCACACCTTTTAGCCTTTCGGTTAAGTTCCTCCCAGCCTATGCATGCCTGGGAATTTCATTAAAGATTAAAGCCTCTTCCCTCAACCACAAATTTGAGGAGTTTTGATAATACTATGGTTACACAGATTCTTGGCTTCAATTTTTCACCTCTCCTCAACTGAGTTATTCTTCCTTTAGTTATATCCCTCTTAGATATCTAAAAGGATAACTCGAAATTTCATTCAAGAGAAAAGTCCAGGTTGCATGTTTGAAAGACCACAGCTCAGTGAACGGGGCATTTACTGTTTCCTGGGAGTGAGAAAAGAACCAGCAGATACTCGAGACCGACTGTGAAAGCACTGAACACTAAATATAACCCCTGGGGGTATAAACCCTCCAGGTTAAACAACCCCAGGTCCCTCAGCCACTCCCCATAAGACTTGTTCTCCAGACCCCTCACCAGCTTCGGTGCCTTTCTCTGGACACGCTCCAACACCTCAATGTCTGTCTTGTAGTGAGGGGCCCAAAACTAAACCCAGTACTCGAGGTGGGGCCTCACCAGTGCTGAGTACATGGGGATGATCACTGCCCTCGTCCTGCTCTCCACACTGTTCCCGATACAGGCCAGGATGCCACCTTGGGCACACTGCTGGCTCACATTCAGCCGGCTGTTGACCAACACCCCCAGGTCCTTCTCCACCAGGCAGCTTTCCAGCCACCTCGATCCCCTCATCCAGATCGTTGATAAAGATATTAAACACAACTGAGCCAATACTGAGCCCTGGGGAACACCACTTATGACCAGCCGCCAACTGGATTTAACTCCATTCACCACCCCTCTTTGGGGTCCGCCTTCCAGCCTGTTTTTTACCCAGCAAAGAGTACACCCACCCAAGCCATGAGCAGCCAGTTTCTTCAGGAGAATGACAGGGGAAATGGTGTCAAAAGCTTTACTAAAGTCCAGGTAAACAAAATCCACAGCCTCTCCCTTGCCCACTAAGCAGGCCACCTTGTCATAGAAGGGTATCGGGTCAGTCAAGCAGGACCTGCTTTTCATGAACCCATGTTGATTGGGCCTGATCACCTGGTTATCCTGTACATGCCACATGATGGCCCTCAAGATGATCTGCTCCATAACCTTTCCAGGCACTGAGGTCAGTCTGACAAGCCTGTAGTTCTCTGGATGCTCCTTCCAGCCCTTGTTGTGGATAAGCGTCACATTTGCTAACCTCTGGTCAACTGGGACCTCCCCAGTTAGCCAGGACTGCTGATAAATGACGCAAAGTGGCTTAGTGAGCACTTCTGCCAGCTCCCTTAGCACCCTTGGGTGGATCCCATCCAGCCCCATAGACTTTTGTGTGTCTAATTTATGTAGCAGGTCACTCATTATTTCCCCTTGGATTACGGGGGCTTCATTCTGCTCCCAATCCCTGTCTTCCAGCTCAGGGGGCTGGGTACCCAGAGAACAACTGGTCTTACTATTAAAGACTGAGGCAGAGAAGGTATTTAGTACCTCAGTCTTTTCCTCATCCTTTGTCACCACGTTTCCCCCCCACATCCAATAAAGGATGGAGATTCTCCCTAGCCCTCCTTTTGTTGCTAACATATTTATAGAGACATTTTTTAATTGTCTTTTACAGCAGTAGCCAGGTTAAGCTCTAGTTGGGCTTTGGCCTTGCTAGCACACTGTCCCTCAAACACTGGTGTGCTGCCCCCAGCCTTATCTCTAGTGAGTCTGGTTTTATCCCTTTCCCCCTTCAAATCTAGTTTAAAGCTCTTTCAATGAGCCCTCCTGACTCCTGTGCAAAGATTTAGCCACAAAGGAATGGCTACATATAAATACTGCCTTAAAACCATTTTTTTGTTAGATTAAAACACAGTAAAGAACCAGGCCCCCCCTTCCCAGGATTCATTTTAAGTGGAGGCTCTCTATACTGTTTTGATACAATTCAAGTTTTAGTTCTCAACTGACATGACTACATGCTTAAGTCTTCCACGTTAGAGAACTCATGTCTGTGAGAATAAGACTGAAAACAAATATTAAACAGAAGAATAATTTTATACCCAGTACTAAAAAAAGCTCAGCTGTGAGTATTGTAAAATTTCCAGTGATAAAATGCAGAACATACACTTGCAAGATCAAGGCCTTGACTGCAATTTTGGGAGCAAGACAGGTATCTTCATACTCCACATCAATATTTTCTAGAATGAAATTAAATACTTACTGTTCTTAAGAAGCTTGAATTCTTTACAACTTTTACTGTACTATAACCATAATACTCCAAATTATACCTGAGACCCAAAATGACTTTGCTAAGTGTTTACAACAAACGGAATACCACCTGTGTCATCCAGAGTGTCCTGTGTTTCTCCATCATCTGTCAATTCCAATTCTTTCACAAAGTTTGAAGGAAACAACCCGGCTTTGCCATTTAGTGTTCCACTCCACCAGCCTTCTTCTACCTGTATAGAAATATTTTACACATCACCGACAAAGTAAAAGGAAATTCCTATCAATTCCATCTACTTCACTTATAAAACTCTACAAACAACTTTGGGAAAGTTCAAATGACCATGATTTCTCTTTAAAGAAACCCACCAAAGATCTAGAAACAGCAAGCAAAAAAAAGAGCAAGAAAATAATTTACTGTCACTTCTATCACTACAGCAATGATCCTGAAATACGAAACTAGCCCTATGCCAATTAATCCAGAAAAGCAGCAAAAAGTTCATCGACTTTCTCACACTAAAACAGCATAACAGACATTACACATCTAACAGAAGAAGAAAATATTAAATTGTTCATGAAATAAAGATGCAACTTTTAGTCTGGCTTTCTAGAGAAACATTCACATATTCTTGCTCTCCATCTGTCTTTTCCTCTGTCTTGTCCAGTTTCCACCAGTCCTACTCCAAACAAAAGCTGGGAATGCATAGGTGACAGTGTAAAAAGATGGCAGAAGAGTGAGTAGGAACTGTGCTCTTCAAATTTATTAAGAGTTTTCAAAAAGGCCTTAAAAAAAAATTTATTTGCCTAATGAGCACTATCTAAAATTATAATTAAGATAAATTTTCAAAATAGTTCATTTCAATTGCTCTGTTTTGGGACTGGAAAGCTGGTTTTAGATAAGAAAGAAAAGCGACAGGGAAAAAAAAACCAAACCCAACAGCAGTTGTTTACATTATCTTTTTTTAGCCTTGTTTTGTAGGTCACTATGTCTGACACACAGGCATAGTATTTAAACACTTGCCTACCTCCAGGCAAGCAGAAGGCATGCAAAACCTGTCAGCTACAGAGACAGACAATGAAAAGAGCTTTGTTATTTTGAAAGACATCCTGGTGCTTAGATATAGCTCTGCTATGGATGGTTCAAATTCACAGTTTGGTCCTCTGAAACAAATTTTAAGCGTACATTACTCACAAGCACTGACCAGGTTCCGGCGCCTCATGCATTACATAGTACATTATTGAAAACTAAAATTCCAATGCCTCGACTAACCCATACTACACCCAAGAGCCATGACAAAGGAACTTTTAATGCTTACGATACAGAAAGCGACTCGAGCATCCATTTATTCTTCTGCCAAGAAATAAGGTCAGCAAAGCACTTAACAGACTTGGAAGGCAAAGCTATGCCAGTTCAGAGACAGTCAGGAATAAAACAAAAATTTCTTGAGCTTACTTGCCTCAGCCTCCTCATCACACTGTCTTTAAAACAAACCTGACTGTATACAAACTACGTTACCAGAAAAGGTACCTTTAATTGACATTAAAAAAAAAAAAAAGGTGAAAGTTCTACATGTCGTTGGGGAGAACATCTGTGCATCTCTGGGTGCTAACAATACAGAGGACAATTTCACAACTCTTATCTTCCATTTCAAATTCTCACCACACGATACAATTTCCACAAGAGGGAGTCACAGCTCTGGTACATATATCAGTACTTTTTTTGGTTTTTTGAGTGTGAATTCCCATCAACTTATTTCTATAAGTTGATGAAAATTCAGACTCGTCTAAACAAAGCCTCCTGGGGGGAGGCTGAAACAAGCGGTTTTGCCAATCTGATTTTTTTTTTTTTATTTTTAATAAAACTCCACTAATGGAGTCAAATGAATTTAGATTATGCTTGATAACACAACATGCAAGTACTACAATATAAAGCTACAAAAATAAATCTGCTATTTAGTGCTGCACATGACAGAAGTGGAAGAAAGATATGAAAAGGAAATAAAAGTTTTACAGCAATCATTTTACAGTTATCATGGGCACTTTGTGCATTTATTTTGCATGCAAAACCCACATATTCTGTAAAGAAAAAACCCTGTGGATTCAGCCAGCACACTGCACAAGGGTCTTCCTCCCTAAAAGGTACCTCTGATCCTTGTAGCCTGCTCTCTTCAGTATTAGCCATTTAAGTTCTGAGCCCATCTGCCTCCACCTTTCATTTCACCATCAACAGTGTCAGTTGTAACTACTCAATTTACGAAAACAATTGCAAGGGATAAATACTCAATTATTCTCAGGTAACTGGTAGAACTGATGTCCTGGTACTACAGGTACAGGTTTCTGCGCTGAATACTGTTACTATTATTTCAAAGCTTCAATGAGTTTGCAAAAAAGCATGAAACTGGAAAATCAGGTCAAATAACATTTTTCACCTAAACCAAGATAAAGTATGTCAACTTAAAGGCAACTGGTCAAACAGTTTTAGCATTCTAAAACCAAGGATCACAGATAGGACGAAAGAACTGTAAAAGTCTTTTGAACAACAAATCCGTGGAACAGATCACAATTTGTCGCTGTGATGATCAAATACTCCCCCTAAACAACTAGCATGCATTGATTTAGGATTAGATCCTGACAGAAAGAACTAAACTATCAGCTTTAGCTTCAGCTTCAAAACCACTACTTCCTATGCTATTTCTCCAACATCCTTGTAATTCAACTAATCAGCCAAAAAAACCAGTTCGCCTTCTGGCCAGAGCAAGGGACAATCAGCTCTGTAGAACAGCTTACCTCTTCGTTGATGTCGATCACATCCCCTAGCTTGAGTTCCAGCTCATCCTCGTTCTGTGGGATGTATTCGAAGAGCACTTTGCACTGCCGCTTCTTGGACCCTGATTCAAGGGAAACAGCAAGAGTAAGAAAGCTTGCAAAGGAAAACTCGTTTTTCCTACACTCAACTCCTGAAGATCAAATCTGACCAAAAGACCAATAAACCACCCCAAAAAGCTATGTAGCTTTCGCTGCTGGTTTTCCAGTTTGCCTGTGTCACTTTAGGCTAGCAAGCTGTATCGTAGAGCTTGAAAACCATGAGTTTCAGACTGCCAATTACAAACAAATAAACACTACACTGCCAATTACCAACATGCCATAAAAAAACATGTTGACACAAGCAAGTCAGATAAATCCCACTACAATGATTTTTCAAGCTATTTCCTGACCAAAATCTGCAAGAACGACAACCGCTGCCAGTTGCAGTGTTAGCACTTGCTTGGAAGAAAATGTGCAAGTTTGAACCTCCAGTCTTTAAGCAATTCTAAAAGAAATAACAAATGTTTTGTTCTGCATCACACTGAAGTGCCAATAGCCTTTCTGCGCTCTAACAAGGACCTTGCTAACCGGTCTGAGGTAATGCTAACATTTGCTCAGCTCATATTTCAAAATCCAAACTCATTTTTGTCTGCGAATGCAAAAAAACCTCCCTTTTCAGTGCCAGTACGGAGTCGAGAAATTCAACCTAAGCTTCAATTAACAGTTTTTGACAAGGGCAAAATTAAAATAAAGCACAGTCTTTAGATGTTTGCCACATACGATCAAAGCTTTGCAGGCATTAAAAAGACAAAATGATATCTCAAGAGGGGAAAGCATTGAAGTGGCTTCCAACAACCCCTCCAGCCAGAGAGGTGTGAACCTACAATTGCCCAATTACTCTACATATACCCTGGAGTGATGCTACTGCTGACCCAGGAGAGTTGAGGCAGTTCTCCCTCAAACAAGAAGCCATGCCTTCAGACCTTTTCCACAACAGAGCAGCCACCACCGTGCTTTTGAAGGCAATTGTCATCCCGAGCTATGACCCACACATGCTCCCTATCCTCCTCAAATACAATCTGCCACAGTTTAAATGAAAGTGTGAATCAAAAGCTTGAAGTGGTAAAGCTTAATCTTGCAGGAGCTGTATAATTTCCGTACTCTCTTATACTTTGCACTTCTCCACACTCAAGCTTCAGCAATTAAGAGGAGCTGGTTAAAAACATTTCAAAACGCAGATAACTGCCTCCAAGATTGATCCTTGTCTTATTATAGCAGCGTTGAAAGTCCAAAGTCAGACATTTAGAGACCGCCACACCCAGCGTCCTCAGTACAAAACACGCCAGGCAGCTGAGTAACTATTCAGCATCTAAAATTTCTGAGAGGGGGCTCACCAAATCCAGGATTCTCTCCACGCTGGTACATGGTCTGTGCTCTAAAGAGCTTAAAAGGCACAGGAAACAAATAAACAAGAAGTATAAAGCTCTGTGAGTTATTCCTAATAACACGTAATTGCCCACGTAATGCACCCTTCTTTTAACTCCACTGAAACTCATACATCAGCCAAGAGGGATTGTTAGGTTAACAGTAATTACAAGAAACGGTCCACTGGCCTTTACTACCTCCTACAGCGCTTTCAGGGCTCCTCCTTTGTATGAGATTAACTGATACAAAAAAAAAAGGCAAATTAAAAGTCATGGCCGTTTAATATAAAACTGATTTCAGCATTCCTTCTCATGTTGTAATTCTACATAAATGGAGGGAGGGGAAACAAACCCACTTCACATCCAGAACTCTCTCTCACCTGCAGCCTGTTTTCAACAATACCCAGTTTGGGAAGTTACTCCCTTCCAGTTTTGAAAAATCCCTAGCTTAACCTAGGAAGCGACCCGATCCGCTCGGAAAACACCACTCCAGCTTCACGCGGTGCAGCAGCACTGCTGCTGGGCTGGCAGCCCCCAGGCAATTCTGTCCCTTTTCCAAAACAACTTGTCTGGCTTCAGGTTTTATTTGTTTTGTACAGCGTAACCCAAATTTAGCCCTTTGTTGCCATAATTTAGCACACCTCCTGTATTTTCCTTTCCCCGAATAAAGGCAGCCATCTATCTGACAGGAATACTGCCTGCAGCTTACTATCCACCTGATACATAATCCCCGAATTCAGCCAGAGCTGCACAGGAGAACAGCACAAGGCGCTTCCCAGGCAGAGACAACCTACCTCACCGCACACTGGAAACTTGCTGTTAAAGAAGCTTAACTTTGTTTCTAATGTTGTAAACCTCATTTTACCAGGTTAGGAACCAGAAACGGAAAGATGACTAAGCACTGGAAACCTTTTGAAGGGAGTGAGCGATTGCCCAGGCACACAGCAAACAGGATCCACAGGAGCTGTTTAAACAGTCTTCCAGGAAAGAGGGAACGGCAAGTAAAATGGAAACGCAGAGATTATCGTTGTGCCAAGTAAACAGTTGTGCGCTTAAAGGAAGGTGCTTGAACACCACTTTTTTCTAGGAGAATGAGACTAGCCAGAGCACTGCAGAGTTTGAAATCAGGATGTACCTAATATCTGGCCAGGGCCACGCAGCCACCAGCATGAGAATGAGACATGCTGAATATGAGATCATTCCAGGATTAGGGAGACCAGAATGAGTAGCCAACACCTGAAATGGCATCAGATCATGTTCACAGAAACAAAAAAAAAGTAATCATAGAATATCTCAAGTTGGAAGGACCCATAAGGATCACTTTGATTCCCTTTCAGAGCCTGGTTGCATTAATCTAGGAACAGCGTTAATTTTCAGGCTAGATTTTCGAAAGCCTGCTGATGCCAACATCTAACAGGCACATATGTGCTGTTGCCAGCACGCATATGCAAATCAGATTCACTAAAAAGTAATTCTGAAGGTAACATCCTTAGTTGCCTAGAGGAAGTAAGTCTGGTGGTCCCATTTCAGGGCTTTAAAAGATGAGTAGGGGCTCTTCTCCTTTGACAGGCAAAAACTCTAAGCATAAACACAGCAGAAACAGTAAGCTCTGAATTCTTTCTTTTTTAAAAAAAAGCAAGATTAAGTCATACAATCCTTATAAAAGATTCCCTTTTACAATCCCTTATAAAAGGGAGGAAGACACAGTAATTTAGCACAATGTCTCTTATAAAGACTGAGGTGTCCAAATTAAAAAAGCAAGATTAAGTCATAAATGGCTACAATCCCTTATAAAAGAGAGGAAGACACAGTAATTTAGCACAACGTCTCTTATAAAGACTGAGGTGTCCAAATACAAATCACAAGGCAATTTTCTGGATGCAGGGAATGCTGTTTTCTGCTCTAGTTTTAGTCACCTTGATTTAAATACTGGCATTAAAACATAGAAACCACAGATACAGAGGCACCCAGTCTGCACTCCCGACCATCCTGGGGGCTGCAGTTAGAAAGGAAGACCACTGCTTTTGCTTAGATGCCACCAACTCCACCTTATCTCACACTAGAAGCAAGCCCACCAAACAAGAGGGACCTAAATTACAGACTCTTTCCATGTCACAAAGCCCTGAATTTGTAGCAAAACTCTTACATTTAGAAGAAATGACCACAGGAAGGGTTTTTCGTTATTATTAACAGGCCTGCAGTTCTCATTCAGGCACCTGACAATACAAGCAGAGCTCACACGAAGTTACACAGCAACATCCTGGAATCTGGAAGGGGTCTGAATCCTGCTCCCAGGAAAATTCATCCCTATTGCTGCTGTTAAGAACTACACATAAGCTTTTTGCCCATGCCCCCAGGAGCAGAATTTGGCTTAGAATCAAAGTTTTTCCTCCTATTTCTCTAGTTTTCCACACAACCTTAAAACTAAGTCAGACATTAAATAATTCATGTTTATTAAAAAAATGCACGTCAGCAGCTTACGCAATTGAAGGAAATGGAAAGACTACATACTCTTCTTGAAGGTTTTGGATGGAGGATGAGGCTGAAATCCTCCTGCTGGAAGCCCATAGCTGCTCATACGCTGCACAAGGCTGGCTACATTGCCAGATTTCTCCCTCCTGACTGGCACGGCATCATCCTTGGGTTCTACATCCTTCTTAACTTCCTGAAAAAAGAGATTCAAAAGACTGAGAGGCCATTTAAATTACCCAAGAGGTCAGTGGTCTTAGACAGGCGCTCCACAGACTAACAGATTTCAGGAACTTACCATTCGGTGTGTAATGATGTATTATACTCAAAAATCATGGCAACCTGCACCTAATCATACTAACAGACTTAATAAACTTGTCCCTTCCACACAATCACATTAGTAAACAGGTAAGCTGATGTGCCGAGGGAATTCAGAAACAAGGGCAGTATTTTAGCCAACCCTTACTCCAACCCTAAGAAAAGTAACTTTGAGCCCAGAAGTCCCATATTACAACTCTTAAGTCACAATTTATATTTGATAACATTTTTAAAAAATACAGATATTACTTTAATGACAGACCCATAGGGTAATGCACTAAATAAAATATTTTAGTATATAAAACTGTATTAGGTCATAGCCTCTGCCTCAGAAAGCTCAAAGGTTATTTACAGATAAGATGCAATCGTACTGCTGAAAGACACGAGTGGAAAAGAAAGTGAGATACAAGAAATAAAGTAGGAAGAAGTGCAGGGAAAGGTGTAGGAGGGAAGTAAGAGATAATTTTTCCGACAATTGTCTCCCACCTTCCTATCTTTCTAAATTAAAGTGTTAGCACTGGAATTGAACATGCCAACCAAGACTAAGAAGCCTATAAACAAGAAAGCATCAGTTCTTCACGGAAAAGGCCGTGTACTCAGCAGTTACTCAACTGCATCAGCTCATTATGTGAGACTCCACCAGAGAACAAATACTCTGAAAGAAGGAAATCATCACTTTGCACAAGAAGGAACCCATTAAGTCAGATCAATGGCCCATCTAGCGCAGATCACAGCTCCCAGCAGTCGAAATTCCAGATGCTCTTCAGAGAGCTAACCTGCAACCCAGATCCTCCCACATTTCCAGAGCACCCAGAAAGGTTTCATTAGGGAGATACATCCCCTTCCCTCTCCCTTTCATGTCTGCAGATGAAGCTGTCTAATCCACTTCCGCACCCATGGTCCTGCCTGCCTCCACAGCTTCCATGGGGGCAGACATGGGATAGTCACTTTTTGCTACATAAAGAAGCTCCCTCTCTCTCATCTGCTTTAAGCTGACAGCTTACCAGTCCTCGTGTGTGCTCCCCATCACTGCATTTAGTTTATCACTACCTCCATGGCTATGTAAACCTTGATCATATCCCCACTTGGCTCTATCCTCTTAATTGAAGAGTCCCAGCCTTGTCAGCCCTCATCTTACCACGCAGCTGCTCCATCCCCTTAACCATCTAGTTCCCTGTCCCCCTCCTAGTCTCAATAGATCTGATGACACTTGGCATCTTGCTGGTGTTTTAGGCTGTCAGTGCACCCAAAGCTGAGAATTTCAGAGAGCTGAAAGCAGCACCACCAGATATTCATGAGCTGATGCTCAACTCTCAACTGGAAGTTCCCTGTAGTCATGGTCTGGATTACCTATTCTTATATGCATTACTTAGCATTTACTGCCACCCTTTTTGCCTGCTCAGCTTCTTACTATCAGCACAACATTGAACTGCACAGGAGTTTAATAGCACTCATGAAACAGGAGTGTCCGCTGTTAAATCCCCTCTCCAGATGACCAGAGATGCTGAACAAAGCTGGTACCACAACCAGCTCCTGGGGGATCCTATCGCCATCTCTCCTTTATCCTGACAAGTCACTGACAAGTCCTTTGCTTCTTTAAGCAACTTCCAACCCATAAAAGATTTTTTTCTTCAGTCTCAGAGCAACTTCATTCCTTCAATAACTTGATAAAAAACTTTCTCAAAGACTTTCTGAAAACCCAAGCGCATTACATCCACTGAATCTCACGCACCTGTGTGCTTAGCAAGATCCTCAAAGCCCATCAGCTTTCCCACCACCGTAGCATTACAATGTCTTGAGGAAAGCAAACAACCGTAACTACTTTACAGATTTTCATGATCCACTTTAGAACAATTCTTGCATCTATCACCAGTAGCCACTGGTTAACTCCTCCATTAGTTATTTCAGCTACAGCTGCAATGAAATATTTAACAATATTTGAAAACAATATTGCCAATGTATACACACACGCTCTTTCTTATTAATGTTGTGTAAACTCCTAAACATAAGCTTTAAGTCAACAAAACCCATTAAACACCAAAAATAGGGAAGCGTATTCAACAGGACGTCTCTGGTGCTTCCTGGAACAGTAAAACCCAGGCTGCTTACTGCGGCTGTCCAGCTGGAAAACTCAGCAGGTCTGGAAAGCTACTGATGCTTTCAAACAAACTATGAACCTCAAGACAAACAGTCCAAAGCACCTTCCTATTTCCCAAAAGAGCAGAGCAAGTTGAATACGCAAGTCTACAGGCAGCACAATTTTTCCTCCCACTCATCTACATTACATAAAGAGCCTTTTCGGAAAACAAGCAAGTAGTTCCTGCTGTTACTTTCCTTCATCCACAGGGACTTCTGCTCTGGAGATCTTCGCTTTGCTGAGATCCCATCTTCCAAGTAAAAAAAAAAAAAAAACACCAAACAAACAAACACACACACAAAAAAAAAACCCACAAACCCAACCACACACTCCAGGACAGCACAGCATTGTGTCCACCTCCCATTTCAGTAGAAATTTCACATTTCAAAGACTTTGTCATTCTCAGTCTTATAGTTGTTTTTTGGCCAGTTACTTGCAAGTCTGACAAACCATAAGGAACTAAATTTGGCTGCAGCTGAAAAGTCTGCCACATGCAAAACACCTTTTCTAGCTGCTTTACTGACAAGGCCATTCTGCTCAACCGAAAAACATACTGGCACACGAAAACTTTCATAGAGTGGATCTGTCACTGGGTTTTTAAAATTATAATCTTTTGCTATGTAATTTATACAGCCTCCAAAACCTGCCAGCTGCTCTGGGAACTAAAGCTTCCCCTGTTAAATGGTTTCTCAATCGTAACACTTTCCAGTGAGGAGTCAGCTCCAGGCTCCATTCCCAGGTTTGCACTTTGCACAAGACCGGCTGCTGCAATAATTTTGTGAAAAGCAGAGAGTCAAGAGAGAAATGAGGAACACATACACAGGCGGCCTGGTAAAAAACATGACCTACTTATAACAATTTTTAAAAAGGAAAAAAGAAAAACACCACAAACAACTTCTAAATGCTAGACCAGGCTATAAGGTAAGCATCACCTTTATCGGTAATTTGTATTAAAATCAGCAATGTACTTTTAAGTCCAGCAGTAGTATCAAAGGCAGCAAAGTAATTGATAGGTTACAAACAACAGGAAATGATTTGAAACAAAAGCAGTGACCACAACGAAAGACCAAAGACCCAAAAATGAAAGGAGGAATGCTTAAGCGACTTTTTTGCCTGGCTTGAGTCAGTAATTGAAGTGGTGACAGGTACACTCAAGTATACTCAAAGTCTGTAATACTCAGTCTAACACAAGGCTAGCAAAGACAAATATAACAGAAAATATAGTGGAATTACATCAAAAGATAAGAGATCTAAAATAATTCCATGAGCATCAGTTACACGAAGAAAATCTTGCAGGTAGATTCAAAGGCTGAAGATTTATTGATGAAGAATTTCATCAGCAGAAACCAGAAGGAGTGATTGGACACTGGGAGAGACTGTTACCACCAGACATTACAAATACAGCCAAGGTATGGAAGCTGAACACTTCAATACACAGGTAAGAGAAGCCTTCCTAATCTAAGACATATAAAAGGAAGGAGGATGCAAGGAAAAGATCAAGATGATCATGAGATACAAACAGGAGCAGAGAGCTGCAAATCAATCAGAAAAAGATCTGCAACGAACAGCCATAGGTAAGGACTGACAACAGCCACACCTGAATCAGAGTCTCAACAGTGACATTTTACTTTGCGTATCAGAAACCATCACATGAAGGTGCTTTGCAACAAGGAGAGGAAAAATAACCAAGAGTCTACTGCTACAGCAGCTAGTCACAAATGCAGTTTTGACACTACAGAAGACGGGTTAATAAGCAGATAAGCCAACAACTGCTTTTTTCATATTCAACCTACGACCCTTTAGAACCATCCTTGTAAAGCAAGCACTTTTTTTTTTCTTCTTGTTAAAGAAGAACTGCAGCATTAATTATCCTTCCTCAGGGCATCAAAAACCACAATAAAACCAAATCAAGTTAAAGCTAATTCAGGAATCTCTAGTCTCCACACCTGCATCCGGTCCACTACACCACAAACCTGTATTTCACATCAGTCCTTACAGTAGGAAACCGCTGTAAGATTCCCAGGCACAGGTCAGGATCCTCTGACACACGTACCCATCAGCACTGCCAGCAATGTCATCCCAAGCATCATCGTTATGACTCTCTAACCTTTTGGACATACTAAGGATTTACAAAGGCTGTTGCTTCTAAACAAGATACTTATCAGTCTGGATCTCTGAAAACTGACACTAAACGATTCACGCATTCATAAATGCCCCGTTAATACGTCTGCAATTTTTACATCTCTGCCCGAACAGCTGGCCTGATTTTCAGTGGTTGGAAAACGACACTGCTCACAGGTCTCATCTCTGTGTCCAAACCAAAGATAAAATGACCCATGTATCACGATATCCAACCTGAACATGCCCAAGACTCCTATTCTTTGGCTTCACAACAAGTAAAACATTTTTCTTTCTTTGTTTTTGATGTTTTTTAAGTCAGCTTCCTATATCCAAACTAATAAGGTCTGCGCTGTGACAACAACAACAAAAAGAACTCCATGACAGTTCAGCTTGTTTTGAGATGAGGCCACCACCAGCTGCCAGCCAGCAAAAGCAAAATGAAAATCTGACGTTAACTGCAGCTGGAAATTTTAATATTTTTATTATGCCAGTCCACTTCAGTTCAAGGCTTGTCAGTGTTTCCACTAGCAACGCAGATTTTATGCATTTATGACTTGGCAGTAAAAGGTCAATACAGACTGTCTCTTGGCATAAAACACAACTGAGAAGTAACCACCCAC